TAACAAAAGCAATACATAAATAAAATCAGATGAATTATCTGTATATAAAAAGATAAAAGACTGGACATGTTTGAGGAAATATTTAGGTGAATCAACAAAACTCTGTGACTGAATTAGATGTGGAAAGCAAGGGAGAAGGAAGAGTTAGAGCCAACAACTAGAAAGTCCGGCTTTGGCAGTCATGGGACTCCTGTGCCTTTTCTCAGATTTGGAGCTGGGTGGATCACCCTGAATCACCCTCTACTTGCTGCTCCCTGCTGCTCTGTCACCAAATCTCTCAAACAAGGCAGTCCCTGAATTCCATCCTACGATAATCACTTCATTTTGCCTTTAGTTAATGAATCTATTTTTTTTGAATTTCTTCTAATTAGTTATACACGACAGTAGAATGCGTTTTGGTTCATTGTACACAAATGGAGCACAGCTTTTCATTTCTCTGGCTGACACAATGTAGAGTTGCACCATAAATGCAGTCATACATGTACCTAGGGTAATGATGTCCATCTCATTCCACCATCTTTCCTATCCCCATATCCCCTCCCCTTCCCTTTGCCCCATAAAAGTTCCTCCATTCTTCCCATTATCCCCCTACCCTCTTATGGATAAACATCCACTTATCAGGGAGAACATTCTGACTTTGGTTTTTGGGGATTGGCTAACTTCATTTAGCATGATATTCTCCAACTCCATCCATGTACCTGCAAATGCTATGATTTTCTTTTCTTTTAAAGCTGAGTAATATTCCTTGTGTATATATACCAGTTCCCTTATCCTTTATCTATTGAAGGCCATGTAGGTTGCTTCCACAGTTTAGATATTGTGAATTGAGCTGCTATAAACATTGATGTTGTGGCTGTGTCACTATAGTATACTGATTTTAAGTCCTTTGGGTCTCAACTGAGGAGTGGAATAGGTGCATCAAATGGAAGTTCCATTCCAAGTTTTCTGAAGAATCGTCATACTGTTTTCCATAGTGGTTGTACTAACTTGCAATGCCACCAGCAATGTATGAGTGTACCTTTTCCCTACACCCTCGCCAACACTTACAATTGATAATTGCCATTCTGACTGGAGTGATTTGGAATCTTGGAGTAACTTTGATTTGCATTTCTCTAATTACTAGTTTTTTTTCATATATTTGTTGATCAATTGTATATCTTCTTCTGTGAAGTGTCTCATTTATTGATTGGATTATTTATTCTTTTGGTGTTGAGTTTTCTGAGTTCTTTATGTATCCTGGAAATTAATGCCCTATCTGATGTGCATGTAGTAAAGATGTTATTCCACTCTGTGGAATCTCTCTTCACATTATTGACTATTTCCTTTGTTGAGAAGAAGCTTTTTAATTTGAATCCATAATTCTTGATTTTATTTCTTGTGCTTTAGGTGTCTCGTTAAGGAAGTTAGGACCTAATCTGACATGATGAAATTTGGGCCTACTCTTCATCTATTAGGCGCAGGGTCTCTGGTCTAATTCCTAGGTCCTTTATCCACTTTGAGTTGAGTTTTGTGCAAGGTAAGGGATAGGTTTAATTTCATTTCATTGCATATGGATGTCCAGTTTTCCTAGCACTATTCATTGAGGTATCTTTTCACCAATGTATTTTTTTTTATGCCTTTGTCAAGTATGAGATAACTGTATACATGTGGGTGTGTCTCTGTGTCTTCTTTTTTTTTTTAAGATTTATTATTTAGTTTTTCGGTGGACACCACATCTTTGTTTGTATGTGGTGCTGAGGATCAAACCGGGGCCACACACATGCCAGGCGAGCGTGCTACCACTTGAGCCACATCCCCAGCCCAATGTGTCTTCTATTCTGTACCATTGGTCTACATGTCTATTTCGGTGCCAATATCATGCCAATAATATGAATCTATTTTTGATCCAAAACTTGGGACATATATATTCTTCTTCAGTCTGACACTGAGACAGAGCTGTGTCTGCAAATGAGAGTGTAAGGTATTTGAGACTGATCTGCTTTTAAGACTCCAAAAGTGTGTTTCAATGGGGGATCAGGAATGCAAATGTAAATTCTTTGATAGTATGTATTCTAGCTCCTCAAGTCAGTAGGAGAATCATGGTTGATTTTATAAGTGCACAGAGGTAAGGTTGATCTAAATGAACCTTGGGATTCTGTAATCCTCAATGTGACCCCTGAAAAAATTGTGTTTCTGTAAATTATACTCTATATATGTATAATATGTCAAAATGATGCAGTGGTAGTGCACTTGCCTTGCATGTGGGAGGTCCTTGGTTCAATACCCAGTATCACAGAATACACTCTGCTGTCATGTGTACCAAAAAAGAACAAATAAAAAATAAAGAAAGAATTCTGTTTTTGAAACCATTCTAATCCCATAAAACTCCAAGAAAGTAAAAAAGGGACAGAATTTCTGATTTCTTTCCTTTTTATTAACTAAGTAAAAGAAGCCCTAATCCATTTCTTTATCAATGGACTTAAGTTCCATTTTCAGGCCAATTGGAAATCTAATGAAGAAAATATGACTAGAGAGAGGCCCTTCAGCAATGATGGGAGCAGGAAGTGCCAGTTCTAGTCACCACAGCAGTGCATTGATTTGGGGTGCAAACAGCAGGTTTTTTTTTTTTAAAGATGGATACAATATCTTTATTTTTATGTGGTGCTGAGGATTGAACCCAGTGCCTCATGCATAGTAGGCAAGTGATCTACCTGTGACCCACAACCCCAGCCCAAGACAGCAGCTTTTAAACTAGCATATAACAGCAATAATAGTCTTTCCTCATCATTTCTGGAAATTATAGGAGCTGTGTTATTTCAGATTTGATAAGAGGCCATCAATGTTCTGATTAAATAAAAATTTTTATTACATCTCACCTAACACAATATCTTGTTTTGAACTCTATTTCTGTCAATGTCTTTGGAGGCTGGGAAATAATTATCTGCTGTGTTTCAAAGTGTCTTATCGTATACTATCTTTTCAAGGATATTTATATACAAAACCACCTTGGAAGATAGAATCTCTCTTTGGGGTAGATTGATTTCCAGGCAAGGATAATAAAGATAGTGTCTCTCTCCAGGACAGAGTTTGGATGGGTTTGTTAGTAATGCACTTGTAAGTTTAAAGGCATCCTAAACTTGAGGTTTCTCAGGTGTGACATGAACCAAATGCATGCATAGCATCCACCTGGGCCCACCTTTTCACCATCACAACAGATTTTGGGCTCAAGTGAACACGAAGCTCATGTTGCCTGCTGTGCTATGAGGAACAAGTCTTTTGTCTTTGGCCAGGAGTCTCATATCTTCTGCCAGTTTCAATGACACTGACTGGCTCACTTTTACTTTCAAGCAGGGAAACACAAAAACAACAAACACCCCAGACCTTCACTATTCTTTACATTATTGTCTTGTCATCTCTTTGGGCCATCATTTGACTTAGAGTTGGAGGAAATTATGGTGTAGAAAAGATAAGGACAACAAAGGCAAATTAAGTGACTAACGTGAGATTAGTGTTGTTCTCTTCAAGGATCTGCGAACATCCTGATCATCTTTGCCTCTTTCTTGCCCCCACAAAGCAAGGATCAAGTCAGTGTATTGCAAACATAAACCTAGTTATTGCTAATAATAGTTCTGCCATATAGTGATACTTCCATGTACCAGCCCCTACTTAACATATGGTTCCTGGTTGTCGAAACAGTTTGAAAATTTGGTATTAACCCTGCCCTAAAGGTCAGAAACATTAAAAAAGCTGCCCAATATCACAGAACGTAGTTGTAGAGGCAGCGTTCCCACACAAATTTATCTGGTAAAAGCTCACATTCCTTCCACCACACCCCACAATATCACAGCTATTCAAAAAAGTTTTCAGAGGAAAACAAGAAATATTTTGGTGGTGATGTTGGCCAGTTTTCTTAACTTCCTCTCCCCAAAAGACTACTACCCCAGTTCCTGGCTTGCTGCCCTAAATTTATTTGATGCATCTTATTACCAATCCACAGCTATTCTTCTGTCCTTTTCCCATTAGCATCTCCTAAAATGCAGAGCTATTGATAGTATTTTTTTCATAGCTGTTTAGAAATCTGTGTGAGGAAGTGGGCTAAAAGGCATTGGGTTATGTATGATGTAACAGAACAAATGAAAGGAAGTATAAAATGAACTGACACTTGACAGCAATGAAAAAATAATCCATGACCTCAGCTTCTGGTGCAGTCCTCACGGTTAACTATGCATCCACCGGAAACCTGAGCTGGGAGCTTACGTCTCCAGATCTCCTCCACGGGGGGCTCATTTGAGGGATGGTTGACATTCAGTCTATAGTTTCAGGAAATGAGACTTCAATTCCTTGTAGTGTTAACTTTAAAGGGAAGGATTTTGATGATTCTTGAAAGGGGAAGAACATTTGAAGAAAGCCAAATGAAAAGACGGAAAAAATCATCTCTCACTTTTATTTTCCCTTGCACAGCACCTGCCACTGCATATGTACTGGATGCGAAATTCCCTGTGGCCTTTGAGCAGTGGCAGAACATCCTCTGCATGAGCTACTGATTTCTATATTTCCAAGCTCCTCTTTTTTTTCCCTCAGACTTCACCAAACTCCTCAGCTCCAGGAATTGCTTAGGGCAGGGAAGATTTACCAACTAAAATGTGTTTACAAACTCACCCTCCCTGTCAGATGAAATAATGCTATATTTTCCCAGCACAATGTTCATCCGTCGCTGCTTTCAGGATAATGTCAAGGGTAAACAAACTCTAAAGTATACCAGAGTTCAATATTTTAATGTTCATTTAAACTATCATTAGAGTTGGGTTAGTGAAAATTACATAGTTGAGAAGTCATTTGGAAAGGCCCAGGGATGCAAAAAAGAGAAGAGAGCATAAGAGGAATTAGGGAGATGGTTCCCAAGGGTAGAGAATGAACAGTATTGGTACAGGAACTGATCCAAGTCTCTGTGGTTAAGCAAAAAAGTTCAGTGTAGGGCAAGACATTTGAAAATCCTCCTTTTCTTATCTACTTGTTCTTACCCAACTGTCATAGTCTATTCAGATCTTGTAGCTCCTGTCTCTTGAACTGCACATGAGTGTAGAATACAGCAGCGATTAGGTTAAAGAAGGGCGAGGCCTGGCCTTAGAAGAGATATCCAAGGAGATTCCTAAGAAGAAAGAAGAGACATGATTTGCAGTTTTTGATCTGTTTATCAATAGTCTCTGGTTACTTCTGTGGATAGTCAAAGTAGCTATGTCTTATTTCCTGTCAGCCCAGCCAGTTGCTAGCCATTCTCCGCCCCCCC